AGTTTTAGTATCTGGTACTTATCCTAATTCTGCTAGATTTATTCTTTCTAAATCAGCTACTATAAAGTAATTTGGTGTTTCAAGATTTTCCATCAATAGAAGACTTAAAAGGCATTTCTAATTGTTTTAATTCTTATTTGTCTCTTCAACTTTTATCTTCATCCTAAGAAACTATTTTAAAAGATTGGACCAAATCTCTTTCTTCTAGAGCTATTCCTTTAACTCATAAACTTTTTAAAGAAAAAGTTGGAATGATTATTAAAAAGTAAGTTACTTTATTATTCTTTAATAATTATAATAAGTGTAATGAATTCTGGAAGCAGAGGAGGAGGAAAACAAGAGGTAGAGGAGAGTAAGAAGCAGACATTAGAACATAGGCAAGAGACTCTAAGTCATTACAACAAGCCTGTTCCTGTATAAAGGACCATATATTCTATTAATTAACAGAGTGTATATGACTAATAGACTGTACTTACCTTTATTTCTGCCCAGACCAAAGTAAATTGGTCTGGATAGGATTAAAGTCGAGTCTGTGTACTGAGTGAAAGCACACGCGAATTTCTCTAAGTTTAGTTTCCCACGAGTGTGTGTTTCCTGAATCACGTCAAACACTCAGTTTTGAGTCCTTCACGCATAAATTCAATAAAATATTTATTTTTTAATTTTACAAAAAATTAAAACATATATTTTGTAGCTAATATGAAGACCTTTCTAATAGTATTTTTTTTGTGAAATAATAATGAGTTTTAGTAATTATAGACTGCAAATACCCTTAAAGTGAGTGTTTCTGGGTGAAATACAGTATAGTAGACTGTTAGGTAAGGTGTAAAGAAACAATTATCTACAACATTACATCCAACAAATCCGGCTCAAAGCCAACAGGAACCAACTACCTGCCTCTGCTCATAAACTGCCTGCTAACTGCCTACTGATTGCCTACTGCTTACCTACTGATTGCCCACTACTTGCCTACTGATTGCCTACTGCTTGCCCACTGCTTGCCCACTGATTGCCCACTGATTGCCCACTGATCACCCACCAATTGCCCACTAATCACCTACTGATTGCCTACTGCTTGCCCACTGATCACCCACTGATT